ATATTTGCAGGTTACCATTATTTAGGAGAAAAAGTTCAAGCTTTTCATGCTTAAAAGTGTACCTTTCACATGTATTTTAACGTTCAAGTCAAAGATCGTTTTAGATGGATGCAAATGGATTTACATTTACGGTGTACTTAGTTTTTCAAAATTCATGTTTGTGTAATTATAACCAAAGTGATATTATGAGAATATATTCCCTATAATTGATTACGTTTGCACCCTTTATTTGAACACCCTAGCGAACTTACTTACCCATGTACAAAAAGAGACTAGCTCCCGTTGGACATGTTGGGCCCGTGCATAGCACGGGCTTTTCTAGCTAGTCCAATAATAAGGGGCAAAAGTCGAATGAGATTAAGGGTTCATCAAATCATCTTTGATAAAAAATTAATTATATATTAAATTTTGAATTTCTCTAATATTTTCATGTGTGTTTATTTTTTTATATTATACTCCCTCTGTCCCTAATTACTTGTCCACTTTTAAATTGACACACCTATTAAGAAAATAATTATTGACATAGTGCGTTATCATTTTACCCCTATTAATTATGAAGTGGATGAATTAAAAACTTAAGATTTTCGAGAAGTTCTACATTTTTCAATGTAATTAATTGAGGATATAATAAATAAAAATATTTTGTCCTTTCTTGATTTGTCAAAATGGACAAGTAATTAGGGACAACTAAAACAGGAAAAATGGACAAGTAATTAGGGACAAAAGAAGTATTTTTTTACTATTACGATAGGTTTATGACAGGATTTGAATTTATTCAATATTCAATTATGTGGCTATTTAGGATATGCGTACCTTTTAATATGATACGCACTTCATTGACTCGGAAAGAAGCAATTTTTTTGTGTAAATAAATAAAAACATGCATTTGAGTATCAAGATGCTCATTTTTGACCTTTTATTTTGTTTTAATAATTCTAGATTTTTCATGTTTTTTTTTATGTGTTTCTTGTGCAGGTTGTATGCATCTAGTAATAAGGGCCAGGAGTCGAATGGAATTAAGGGGTTCATCAAATCTTCTTTGATGAAAAATTAATACTCCCTCTGTTCCTAATTATTTGTCCATTTTTTCTTTTATAGTTATCCCTAATTAATTGTCCATTTTGACAAATCAAGAAAGGACAATTTTTTTTACCTATTATACCCTCAATTAAATGATTAATTATTTTGAAAAAGATAGAACTTTTCATCCACCTCATAATTAATAGGGATAAAATGGTAAACTCACTATGTCATTAATTATTTTCTTAATATGTGTGTCAATTCAAAAGTGGACAAGTAATTAGGGACAGAGGGAGTATATATTAAATATTGAATTTCTCTTATAATTTTACGTGTGTTTATTTTTTTATATTTTAATTTTTTTAATAAAGAATTTGATTTTACTATTACGAAAGGTTTATAACAAGGTTTGAATTTATTCAACATTCAATTATGTGGCTATTTAGGATATATATGTGTATCTTTTAATATGATACGCATTTCATTGACTTAGAAAAAAGCAAAATCTTTGTGTAAATAAATAAAAACATGCAATTGACATTTGAGTATCAAGATGCTCAATTTTGACTCTTTTTTGTTTAAATATTTCTAGAATGTTCATGTTTCTTTTTTGTGTATTTCTTGTGCAGGTTGTTTGCATTTGATAATCAGGGACAAGAGTCCAATAAGATTAAGGGGTTCATCAAATTTTCTTTGATGAAAAATTATTATATATTAAATATTAAATTTCTCTAATATTTTCATGTCGGTTAAAATTATAGTTTTTTTAATAAAAAAATTGATTTTACCATCACGATAGGTTTATGACAAAGTTTGGATTCATTCAATATTCAATTATTTTAATATGATATGCACTTCATTGACTCAGAAAGAAGCAAAATCTTTGTGTAAATAAATGTTACCATCGCCCTAACTCCTACCCAAACTGTTGTATCCTTGTACGTACTGCTTACCTCTCAATGATTTTAAAAAATACGATAAGATATTAATAGTATAAATTTTAGGAATACAATCTATCCCTATTTAGTTTGTAATTATATTAATATCTGAAAAAGTAAACAAATCGGATACATAATATGTAGCTCGGATACATTAAAAACTAGCTCGGATACATTATAAAATAAATCGGATACATAATATGTAGCTCGGTGTAACGACCTGTTCCCGTCGTTATAGAAAAGCCAACGGGGGAAAATTTGGGGCAGGAAAACTTTTTCGTAGTATTTGGATTTTCCCAACCTAGTCCAGATTTGAACGAAATCGGAGTCTTTGAGGTGTAGGGAAATCTGGTAACAATCGGGTGAATCATTTATGATTTTGATTGCATGAGTGGTTAGATAACTCGTTAAGGAATCCGTACGACTTTACGAAATTGAATTCGGGTGAGTAGAACTCCCGGAATCGATCTTAGCATAAGAGGTATTTTCTTAGCGTCGTTGTTTAGAGGTGTGTTGTGAAATGGGGATTTTGGAATTCTTTAAATAGCTCTCTGTTTCGTTCCAGCCGCTTTAGCGCTGGATTGTGCCGCTCTTGGGGGCCGCTACAGCGGGATGATGGTCGTTGTGGCGGGCTCAACGCGACTTAAGGTCGTTAATAAACTCCTAAACAACCTTATTATGCACTTTTCGACTTTTAGAGCTAAGGAACGAACCTCAGGAGACTCCTACTCGTTTTTCACCATTCTTGAGGCTAAAGGTAAGTTTTTCACTCTCCGAATCCATTTTTTGATTCGTAGAACGTAATAGAATGGGTGAATAATGATGGGGGAAGGTTTTGTTATAGATTCTATGGTGGAAACAACCCTAATTTGGATAATTGGGATCATGGGTTTGATCTAGGGTTCATATATAGAATTGTTAGTAATTCGGGTAATTAGTGATTGTTTATTGATCATGTATTATATTGATTATTTGTAGACCAAGAACAAGTGGAACGAATCCGGAAAGGGAAGGATCAAGTTTCTTAGGGTTTCAAGCTTGTTTCGAGGTAGGTGATGGTTGTGATTCTACGATTGTGTGATGTATGTTTGTTCTTGCTTGCTTCATTATGATACTTGTATATGTATGAATGTTGCAACGTTGATCACACTTGTTGCAAATGAGATAGATGAATGATGATTGTCATGAAATCATGACCTAAATGTATGATTTTGATGATGTACTTGTGATTGTGATTGTGGTGTGTTGAATGGATCGATTGCCACATTTCGACATAACTAACTTGGATCAGTTGCCACGTTTCGGCATAACTATGGGATCGGTTGCCATGTTTCGGCATAACTATGGGATCGGTTGCCATGTTTCGGCATAACTATGGGATCGGTTGCCACGTTTCAGCATAATTATGGGATCGGATACCATGTTTCAGTATGCTAATTGTTTGGGTTTGAGTTCCATGAGAGGACCAATGATTTGATATAAAATGTGAAGTTGTTTGTTGTTCGTAAATGTTGTTAATATTGTATATGTTGATATATATGCATGTGATTATAAAGTTGTCTTGACTTGCTTATGTTACACTTAGTGGGATGGCCGCGTGATCCTACCAGTACACTGTGGTTATGTACTGATACTGCACTTGCTCTTATTTTTGTTGAGTACAGGGCATCTTCAAGCGGCTACTGACAGACCTCGCTTAGGAGATTAGTGATCGTTCGAATTCAAGGTGAGCCAATTCTTTCGGGATGCCATGGGTTCTCTTTCGTCTATGTCCACCATTTCTGGACTTAGACTATGTTCTAGTTAGTTGATTAGTTCATTAGATTGGAGTTGCATCCCTTCTTGTTTAGACTTGTTGAACTTTAGATGTTTTGGTACATTGACTTTCAGGTTCTAGGTGTTACTTCCGCATTTGTTTAGTTGATAGACTTTTGTTTGGAGTTTATGGGAACTCCCTAGCTATTTATTTCCTTAGTATTTTACTTGCTTTTGTAACTTAATTGCCTTAGTTTTTAGATTAGTTGTTTGGTTGTAGTAGTGGTTCTCCCACAGGAGTGTTAGTGTAGGTGCCAATCACGATGGTCTGGGTCGTGACACTCGGATACATTAAAAACTAGCTCGGATACATTATAAAATAATTTAGAATTAGAAGAGAAATAAGAGATTTTAGAGACTTTTAGAAATAGAAAGGAATATTAGAAATAAGGGAAACATAAGAGTGTATTTCAGTAATTTTTTCATATTAATATCCTTTTGAATTGACCGAAGGTTTGACAAAATTGTTTTGCTAAATTATTTTAAATATATTTTTAATATAGTATGATAAAATATTAATAACCTTTTGAATTTAGGCTTGAGTGAAGTTTTTTTTATAAGAAAAACTATACACTATATTAAGAATATTCACATGTTTTATATATAGCTTCACAATATTTTTAATTATTAATATGAAATTTTACTCACACACCTCAATAATCTCTCTCAAACAAAGTTCCACACGACCTAACAACAAATGGGTCATTGGCATGAATGCTCATATTTTAAGATGATTTTTATTTTTTGTCCATTAAATTTATTTTTTCTCTCTTCAACACATTAAGTAACAAAACAGTGTCCAAAAATGCCTTTAACATTGAAAAATCTCAAGGTAAAATTCACAATGCACAAGTTATGTCTTACAAGAAATTATTTTTAAGGCATATATGTCTTATAACAAATCATAAATTCAACTTCAAAACTCACAAAGTTATATCTCTTAATTTTCTAATTTTTTGTTGGACAAGACACTAGTTAAGAATACTTTAGTTTACATTTTTTAAAAATTAAATGACCATTTGGGGGGGAAATTCAATGATTACTACTATTAATTAAAGAAACAAAATTAAAAATCATCCTAAAATAGAAATAGTTTGTGCAAAACTTATCAATAATTGGCCATCAAGAAGCTCCCGCAATAAGTAGCTCGTGCATAAAAGTCCCTTGATGGATCATCTTATTCATGAACTTTATCATTCACTATCCTCAACCTAAGTGTGTGTTCTTGTCCCTTTGGGAAATATTCGATAAAAGTGAAATCATATAGTGAAGATTAGCATGAATCTTGTATAACAATGACACACATAAATCAAAAATATAATTTTCATGCTTTTTCAAGCTATGTACCTTGTTTGGTGAAGATAAATTGAGCTCCACAATCGTCCAGTAAATTATCAATTTTATTATTTTTGAATTAATTAATTTAAAAGTATTTTAAATATGACATAATATTAATTACTTCGTATCAAATTCATATGATCTTCCCCAAAATATTCAATATTAAGAGTTAGTATTACTAACATTCATTTCTCTCTCTCACCATCCTTTCTCTCTCTACAACATCACAGTCTTCCTTTTCTTTGATAAAATTAAATCTAGACAACATCATGAAAACAATTCTACGTCCTTTAATTTCCTTTATTTGTTTTTATGAACTTATCATCCGTTTGTTGACTTTGTTTTGTTTTGGACTTGGGTCACTTTTGGGCCTAAACTTTTCATGTTGGCAACTTTCTATTTAATAAGTGGGCTTTACTCGTATTTAAATGAGAAATTTTTACGTATAGCAAGTTAAAAATTGCTAATTGTATGCTATAGCAAACTTTACAAAATTGCAGTCCGTCGTAAAATTTTAGTTTGTTACAGATGTGTCTTTCTGTATATTCGCTAGTCATTCTTTTTTTTTATATACATTTTGATTGTTTTAGAAAATAAATAAAAAGGCGTGTTAATTTAATTTGTGTATGTAATTGTTTATATATAAATGTATATGCAGAATGTGTATATAAACGTTTATATGAGTATATAATGGGAATATGTATATATGTGAATAACTGAAGTTGCTAGAATTTGTATAAATATATGTTTTGTTTGTTGTTGAAATTCTTAATCGTATAAATGTATATGTATATATAACTTTTTTTTTATACAAAAATTTTGAAAATGGCTTCATTAGCTATTTTGGTTATGCATTCCGGTAGATGGGACAATGACAATTGTTACATTGATTATACAATTGAGGGGTGATTTTTAAAGAAAGTTCATCGTATAAGGAGTTGTATAATGTTATTGCAATGCAACTCGGTGTTGATACAAATGTGATTAAGCTGAAAATTGAGTATAAGGTTAAAGAAAGCAAAACGCCAATGTTGATTCACATAGTAAAATATATTAAAATAGACACAAGTGTATAAGTGTGAGCAAATATGTATGTTTAAAGGAACATTATACAATAACTACTAATATTATACATTTATACAACCACAATTGTATAAGCAAACAATAGAAGACATGAATCAACACAAAAAAAATAAAAAATAATGATTATACAGTCCAATGACCCACATAACTATACAGTCCAATGACCCACAAACAACAACTTCAGTTTTATCATTGTGATCAGTATAAACGTCAGTTTTATCTTTCCTTTTTTTACTTGACCCAGAAATAAGTGTTTAAGTGTGAGCAAATGTGTATGTTTAAAGGAACATTATACAATAACTACTAATATTATACATTTATACAACCACAATTATATAAGCAAACAGTATAAGACATGAATCAACACAAAAAATGTAAAAAATAATTATTATACAGTAAATGACTGGAAAAAAAAAGGTTATATATACATATACATTTAAATTGAAAAAATTAACAAAAATTAATAGAATGAGATGAGTTTTGGCGGTACCTGAAATTTTTAAAGTAATGTTTCTCTTTTGAAAACGAGACGAGGACGTGTTGGAGAAATTTGTAATTTGAAATTGAATTTGGGGAGAAGATTTGGGAGAATTTGAAGGAAATAGGAGAAGAGATTGTATAAAAGAAAGGGAAAAGGAAAAACGTCTGTTTTATTTTTTTAATAAATTATACAAATCGGTGGGGCCCTATTATAGCAAAGTGACCAAGATTTTGCTTATTAAAGGAAATAACTGAAACGGTAGTCAGTGCATTTAATTAACATTATTAGTTTGCCATTCTGTACAATTATCCCTATTTAAATCCTTTTTTTTTTTTTTAAATTCTACTTTTGCATTTGCTATAATTAAACAAAAGTAATTATTTTATTTCAAGAAAACCAATTTATTTTTCTTTCTAACGAGAAATATGAACGTTGCAGTAAGACTTAATATTAAGCTCAATTGAGTGTATGAAGCGAATTTTTAAAATATTTATTATAATTGATGTACAAATTTTTACACTAAATTAATATAATTTAATAAAATAAAAATATATAATATTTAATCATGATTAAACGATAAATTTGTATATTTCAACATATGTCAAACAATATTGAATTGATATAAACACTCTGATGTGAATAAGTTTTTACTCAAGGTATATACTACTTCACAATAGTAATGAAAAGGCTAATTAATAACTTATAACAAACATGGAATTGGCTAAGCACACCGAGTAGGTTCACTAGATATATACATCACTGATCACAAAAAGCTAAAAAGTCTACCAATTAAAGAAGGATTATCGAGATCTCAAGGATTATCATACCTAACTTTCTCTAATTTACCTTGCATCCAAGAGCAAAGTTACAATATTAATTCACTAAAACAATATAATACGATACAATACAATACAGTCTTGTTAAAATATATAGTTTATGTTTTATTCAAAATGTAATTAGTTTTATAATTAGTTTTTAGCTGAGCAAAGTCAGTTAGTTATAAGTTAGTTAACCTTTCATGCTTTTGTTAGTTAGATTGATTATTCCTTGAATATTGTGCAGGTTGATTAGTTAGCTTCTAGAATCTTCTTAATATTGTTTTGTATAAATACAGTACATCGATCATTGAATGAAGTCAAGTTTTCATTCCCAAATTGCAGAGCTTTTCTTCTTTTCTGTTCTATCTTAAAGCTTAGCTCAACATTCATCAATGGAGAATTGACATTCTTCATAAGTTCTGCTTAAATTCAATATGGTATCAGAGCCATAACGATTCAATTTTTATCATTAACGATTCAATTCCTGCTGATTTTTCGTGTTCGCAAATTTATCACCATTTTTTGCTTTTCTCTTTCTTTTTCACTCACAAACAGATCTGTTTGCACATTATGGAACAAAATAGCTCTCAGGAAGGGACTTCGACTGGGAATCAAGCTCCAATTCATGTTTCTACAGATCTGACCAGTGTATTTTATGTTCATCCATTTGAAAATACCAAATCCACAATTTTTCTAGTTCTATTTGATGGATCTAGATATCGCTCATGGAGACGAGTTGTTCTTCGTGGATTATCTGTAAAAAATAAGACATGTTTCATCAATGGCAAGATACAGAAACCATCTCCAGATTCAAATACCTTTCCTCAGTGAGAAAGGTGTGACGACATGGTGACATCTTGGCTATTGAATTCCCTATCCAAGGATCTCAGAAACAGCCTGCAATACGTAGACAATGCGAAAGAACTTTGGGATGAACTGGTGGACAGGTACGATCAAACTAATGGAGCTAAATTGTTTCAACTGCATTGTGAAATCAACGAACTCAGTCAGGAGAACCTAGATATCACTGGTTTCTATACCAGAATCAGGAAACTATGGGAAGAGCTTAGTGCCTTGGACACTAATTCACAATGCACATGTTTGTGCACTTATGATGGTAAATAAAAAATGCACAAAGATGAGCAAGATAGGAGACTCATTCAGTTCCTAATGGGATTGAATGAAGTTTACACTATTGTGCGATGTAACGTCTTGATGATGAATCCATTGCCCACCATGGCTCAAGCCTTCTCCATTCTTGTTCAAGAGGAGAAACAGATGGAGGTCAGACCTCACAACAAGTTCAATTTGGATTCAGCTTCTTTTCATGTGAATGTTGTTGGTACCAGCACCAACTTCAGGACTAACTACACCCCTTATAAGAACACTGGGGGAACCAGTAGACCTCCAAATAAGTCCACTCTTTTTTGTGAGTATTGTAAGAAGACTGGCTACATCAAAGACAAATGTTATAAACTCCATGGTTTCCCTCATGACTTTAAGTTCACTAAGGGTAAGAATGTCGAAACAACAACCATTGCTCATGGATTCTCTGAAGAACTGATGGGTGATACTCCTGCCAAGACTAATGAAATGAGCAAGGGGAAGGGAAAATTGCATGAACAATCAAGCTAAACACTAACTCAACAACAATTCAATCAGTTGGTGAGCTTGTTGGAACACATCCAGGTTCAATGAAGCAATAGTACTACAAGGGAAACTGCGAGCAATCCCAATGTTGGAGCTGTCAACTTTGTAGGTATTCTATCTTGCTACTCCTCATTTTCTGATATTGGGAATTTATCATGTAAATGCCTAAAACTTCCTGTTGATTCTTAGATCATAGACTTAGGGGCAACACACTACATGACCTTCTCAAAGTCACTTCTCATTAACCTTAGACTTTTGCCCCCATCATTTTCTAATTACACTCTCAAATGGTTACAAAGTAAAAGTGACAAAAATTGGTGATGCATGTCTGAATTCTTCACTCACTTTGCACAAAGTAATGTTTGTACCTAGTTTCAAATTCAACTTAATTTCAGTACACTGCTTGGTTTTGAACTTAAAAGGGACTGTCAGTTTCAATAATTATTCTTGTCTGATACAGGGCCCTTCACTGAAGAGCCCTCTGGAGATTGGTAGAGCATACAATTGACTTTATTTCTATGCTCAAAATGCCACACTTCCCCTCCTGCTGCATCAACTTTTGTTTCTTGTATTGCAGCTAGTGCACCTAGTTCTTTACCTACTTGTTTTCCTTTTTTACCAATTACTAATGTCTCTCCTAAGAACTCATGTAGTACTTCACATGATACTTCTAGTATGACTGGTTGTATTGCCTCACCTGTAAGATCCACATGTTTGAAGAATAATATTGTTTTTCCTGTTTGTACTTCTAATGTTGTTGTTCATATCTTAAATAATCATGTTATGTCATGCATGTCTCATGGTAACAATGTTGATCACTTGTGGTATAATAGGCTAGGCCATGCCCCCTTTGTCAAAATGAAAAGCATTCCCACCATTCCCATAAAATTTTCACCCAAACAGCCCTTCACAAGTACTATATGTCCCATGGCCAGGCAGGCCAGACTCCCCTTTCCAACTAAAA